GCTGCAGGTTTGCAGCCAGCTCGCGGGAAATTTACCTGACATATAAATTTTGTGCCATAACTGAAGGTAAAACCACTGTATAGCCTAAAGTTGCCTATCCGTCAGAACCGAGAGCCCCTTCAGCTTACAGAATATATCTCCTTAAATCGCACTCATCCACCTTGATCGAATGGTATAACCTCGGTGCAACGGTGAAATTCGAACCCACGACTGCAAAGGTTCAGCTATGTCAATTAATTCATATCTCCTTATGTTGATTCGCAAGGCGAGCCTATTGCAGCTTGGCGGACTATTGTCGATATTGCCGTATTAAACTCAGGTACACAGACGAGTCATTTTGATACGCATATGAAATACTTGGCAGCCCGGTGGGGAATGAACACACTGCAGCAAGAGGTAGCCTTAGTACAGCCAACGCTTTAGTCACCTATGCTAACAGGCTCCATCTGACGACGCTACAATAATGGTATCTACCATAATACCTATGAACTACATGAGACTCTTAGCCAACTGGTGGATTCTAGATGCATGAATTAAAAAATCCTGCTTCGAAATTCAGCTTACTGTATCAGATTTGGTGGATTCCAGACCTTGCAGTAGATCGAACGGGTAAACTTGATTTAGATATGATTCAACTCGCGTCGTCCGGTGGGGCCTCGTATCTTAGGTGGCTAGAGCGTTGGCCGTACTGAAGCCTCTCTTGGCCGTCGTGGGTTTGAATTCCACCAGTTAGGCACATGAGCAACTTCGGAGACTGAACCCAGTTATTTTTCAGAAGCAAAGCACTCTGAACAGTGTCATTGTGATGTGAGGAGATTCACTCGATCGCTGGAGCGAAAATAATATTCACTTGATTTTCGCGATACCTTTTTGATCAAGAACAGAAACAGATGGAAGTTTTGGACGAACAGGGTGCGGCATTTTTATAAGCTGCATTTCCTATGCTATCATGCGCATGTATATAATCATAAAGTCCGCATTCACTGGGAATAGCTCGCCCGCGATCGACCGACCTGGAGGAGGACAGTGAAGACGGGCGCTGCGATCAACGAATCCATCCGCATCGACGCCGCCAAAGCGAAACGCGAAGCCCGCAAATCACAACTTCGCCCAGTACGCAACGCCGACGCACAACCGCTACCAACGTGTCCTCGATGTCAACGGACCTTCCGGGCACGAATTGGACGTGTTGGACACATACGGATCAACTGCGCCTCTCGGACCGCACCATACGTCGTCCGTACGCGCGCCTCTTCCTCGTCGTCTACGCCGCCAAATAACTCTGACTACTCTTCTGAACCACCAATTCCATTCTCCTCCTCCTCCTCTACTGCTACTACCTCCGACTCCAGAGTTGAGGACCGGGACTACACCTGCCCTCACCTCCACCTCACACATCGGCCTGGTCGGTCGCTTGCAAATCCATCGCACAGAGACTGGCGAACCAGTGCCTGG